TAAAATTTTATGAACACTGTTTTTGTCATATAGAGCATTCTAGTCTCAATATTGTTCTTTTATCTACTAATTTAGTTTTAAGTGAGGATGCAAGTTATTCTGGCCATATGAATTATTTGTAAGCAGATCACTTTGTTTTGTTAGACTAAGTTTAATAATTTTAATAGTGTGACGTTAATAGTGTTTTAATTTTTAATAATTATTAGAAAGACAAGACATTTCAATGTTTACAGTTTTAGTTAAAGCCTTCCCACTATGTTATTCATACTTCCTTGTCTGTATTGTACTCACACTTTGTCTTGTAAAAAGTTGAAGATATTGTAGTTAGAGTTACTGTTGTCTCAATCTTTTATTTGTTTTGAAGTTATAGAAAGGAAAAGGTTGTTGCAATTTATATTGTTATTAGTTTAATATCAACAACTTAGTATTATTCCTAATAATTTTTGATAATTATTTTTGTCAATATGATTCAACTTCCACAACGTCTTGCACCCGTTTGTTCAATAATCACACCATTTTATACTCTTGCTGTATCAATAACGTTTATCTACGCGTTACATCAAGCTACATTATTACTAGCATATATTTTTAAACCATCGAAAACAAAAAAATTATTCACTATATTTAACAACGATAACAAAACCAACAATAATGATAATAGTGAATATTTACCATTCGTAACGGTTCAACTACCTATGTATAATGAACGGTAAATACGAATGAAAAATAACTTTTGCTCACTTATGTAGAACGCAAGTTTCGAAAAAAATCATGCTATTCAAACGCTTTGTGTACTGTAGAACTATTGTATGTATCTTTGGAGATCGTACATGTACAGAAACATTATATATATTTAAAATCTAAATTATTGAAAAAAGTGCGTACTGCTTTATAGTCTTACATTGTACTTTATTGAATATAAAAGAAAGGACTATAGATATAATAGTACAACTTTTGCTTTTTAACTTTGACAGATATAAAGTAGCTTTTACAAATGATAAACATCTTTTTCTCAGGAATCATGGATTGAAGTTTATTTAAGCCAGTTGTCAGTGGCAAATAGCAGAAAAATTGTTTTTTTCTTTTCGATTTTAGCTATGTGGCTGGTCGAATAATTGATGCATGTGCCAATTTTGATTATCCTTCGTCCCGTTATGAGATACACGTACTAGATGATTCAACAGATGATACTGGACAAATCGTTGACTCAAAAATTAAAGAATATAAACAGAATAATATAACAATTCGACGTCTATCTCGTAAAAATCGAAATGGTTTTAAAGCGGGTATGACAAAAACAAAATCTAAGAGAGAATAGAATAAAAACTTTCATGTGGTTTAGGTGCATTACAGAATGCTGTTTCTTATGCAAATGGTCATTATTTAGCAATATTCGATGCGGATTTTGTACCAAAAAAAGACTTTCTAAAACGTACAATGCCCTATTTCGTTTCACCCCAGATAGCTGTTGTACAAACACGTTGGGAACATTTAAATGCAAATTACAATATTTTAACACGAGCTCAAGCGATGGCATGTGAGTAAACACAGTGGTAGCATAAAACTGTGGAAATATTATGTCATAAATATTTTTCAGTGAATGTTCATTTTACAATTGAACAAGCTGGTCGTTATTATTCAAATGTATTTTTGCAGTTTAATGGCACAGCGGGTATACACGAAAGTAACAAAATCATATTGGAGACAGGATTATAACAAATATTCAATGTATTTTTAGGAGTTTGGCGAAAAGAAGCGATTATAAATGCTGGCGGCTGGAAAGATGATACAATAACAGAAGATCTTGATTTGAGTTATCGCGCACAGCTAGCCGGCTATAAAGTTATTTTTCTGGAAGACGTTGATACACCAGGTAAAATATTGGCTACTAGTTTTTGTTCATTTGACTGAAAGTAAAGTAAACAACTTCTAAGTCCGCAAAACACAAAAGTCAAGAAAATAGACGACTGCGGTTAGAATTAAAAGTTGCAGAGGAAAATTCAATAGTGGTGCTTTTCCATTATGGAGATCCAACCTAGTACCACTCTCGATATAAATAAAGAAAGTCTCAATACCAATGATATACCAAAATGTTAGCAATAGAGAGAAGAGTCACGTACAGTTTCGAAAGAGGGATGAACCTGTTAGAAGCATAACACTAATAGGGAAATGTTGAATGAACGGTTATTCAAGGAACATTTCCCACTTAGCAATGTTACAAAAGCTAATTTCAGGAGAGCTAACCTTTTCACAGACAGCTATGGTTAGTTACCACACAACGTTTCAGTCAAAGAATTACTATCCTCTTCAAAATGGCAACTAAACGATCTCTTGATGTTTCGTGGTTTACGCATGGTATTCGATTTCTTGTAAGTCCCAGGATCGATATCTCTTTGAACGTGGTCATTCAAAAAAATAAATGGAAACGTAGGTTTTCGACCAGATCGAATTTAGTGACAATGTTTATTTTGAAGAGAAATTTAAAAACCTTGTGAAAATAGTTTTACGAAAATCTAAGTTTTCTCGTTGTTTTCGTCTAATATTAAAAGGAGTTCTGGAATCCTTTTCGAAAAACCATAGGATTTTGTAAAATTTGTTTTGGAAATATTTTGTGAACAGAATATAGGATAGCTTGAATGTCCTGAAATTTCCAACTTGATCTGGTGTTTTTTGAGTGAATTGTGAACCTTTTAATATCAGGTGAAAACAGCGAGAAATTGTTTTCATAAGGCTTTTACATTTCTTTTCAAAAATAAACATTGCCACTAGATTCAATGTGGTCGATAGCCTATGTTTCCATTTAGTTGTTGAATGACCGCATTCAAAGAGATATCGATCCTGGGGCTTACAAGAAATCGGATGCTACGCGTAAACCACGAAAAATCGAGAGATGGTTTAGTTGCCATTTTGAAGAAACTGGAACTAAGATTTATTTTATACAAAGGGAGAATATCACAAAAATCACCAAAACGACTTGTGGCATCTGAAGACACCCCATGATAGCCTAAACTAAAAAGTTTCTATAACACATACATTGTGAGAGAAAACATATGTGTGATACACTTTAAGAGAAAGAGCAGTTCTAAACGTAAAAATTGTTGGGAGCGTAGATGATCTCTTAACATACATTTAAATATGGATAAAGAAGGGTGACATGCTAAAACCGAAGGAAGTTCCTTCCATTTCTTTGAGCCACGTGAAATGAAAGAGCCGGATGCAGATTTTAGCTTGAGACGAGGAATGAAGCATAGTTTCGGTGTGTAGTTAGCGATGAGATCAAATCAAAAGATGAGAGAGGACTTTTATTATAGAATATTTTATGAAAATATAGAAGGCGACAGTAAAACCGTCTATTAGAAAGTGGTTGAGTTTTAAATTTTTTGAGTAAATAAAAAGAACTATTGAAGTCTTGTGAAATAATTCTACTAGCAAGACGCTGAATTTTATTCAGAATATTAAGGTGAGAGGTAAAGAGTGAATCATAGATACAGAGCTGCAGAATCTGTCTGTTTGGTTCGACGACCATTGGAGGAAAACTTATTGATTCGGAGAAAATTTTGAAAAATTAGAATTTCTTTTTGCAAATATTTTTCAAAAACAAATTCTGTTCATGGATTATGTCGTCACTGGCCTTATACAAGTTTTATACAGATGGCACTTTGAAAGACGACACTTTGAACTATTTATTCATGAAAAAAATCAATATGTTGCTAGTTAAATTTTCCAGTTATGAATCAGTTTTCTAGAGATCCATTATAGGAGTAGATTTTGAAAATTCTTCCTAAATGTCGTTTGCTTATGAAAGGATGCTTTAAAGTCTTCTCTATTAAATGACGAAAACCGCGAATCCTCATCTGCTTTCGTTCAACAGTTATTTTTAAAAACAACCGTCGGTCTTTTCATTGGAAATGGATAGTAAATGACTCTTAGATGAATAATTTCTTGTTTTTATCTGTTGCTGTTTTGTCCTTTATAGCTGAGTTACCGATATCCATAAATGATTTTAAATCTCAACAATATCGGTGGTCAAAAGGTGCCGCTCAGACCGCTCGCAAATTAGTTGGCCAAGTTTTATGTGCAAAACAATTATCGTTGTTTGTTCGTTATCATGCCGTAATTCATCTATTTTCCAGTTTCCTATTTTTAATATGTTTATCACAAACCCTTTTACTAGTAGCTGTCGAAAGTCTTTGTACTGAACCAACAATATTAATTTTGACGAATATTGTTAATGCTACTTTACTGTTCATAACATCATATATTGGTAATAGCGAAGCAAAACGTTTAACAGCGCAAGAAAATGGCTGCCAACAACAGGATCAACTAAACAAAAACAAGAATAAAAGTTTTCTATTGGACTTATTTAAATTTCTATTTCATTTTTTATTATTCCTTTCATTAATACAAGCCATTTGTCTTCATAATACAATTGCAGTTATTGATGGTTTAATACGGAAAAAAGGTGAATTCAACCGTACACCAAAATATAGTGTTGAAACAACAAAATGTGAATCAATAAAACTGATTAATAATAAACGACTGCATTATCAGCGAAAATCGATTGACTGGCTAGCATTAGCGGATATTATTTTATCAATAGTATTCATTTTAAAAACATTACATTGTATTTTCTATGTCGGAATTTGGATAAAACTTGGCACTATTATTTTATATTCCTCACTAGCTGTTGGCTACTCTGTCGTTAGTGTCGCCACAATATTGGAGGTATTTTAGTCAACAGAAAACATATTACTCTTCGGTCACAAAATAAACTGAATAATTCTTACGTAAAAGAACTTTTCCTTGCCATTTCTTTATTGTAGTCTTTGTTCTTTCTGCTGCTATTGTGAAGAGATCTTTCTCATATATTTACTATATCAAATCCATGCTAAACCTGTGCGTTAGGCAATATTCTTTTTCCTTTCTTGTGCCGATCTATTTTACATTCTATGAACACAAAATTCTTCATGAATCTAGTTCATCCAGTAAAGAACATGTTACTGTATTTGTTCATACGCAGACTAGACTACGAAAAAACTGTAACGTTCTTTTTGTTGGCTGTGTTATGTCGAAAACGCATCTGT